AAAGCAAGGACCACCAACAGAGATACTATTCCTTTCACTGCCCTGGCAGATCGGTGTTTCACTTTTCTTTATTCCTGCCACTCTTCCATCTGTGCCTGTCACCCCTCTCTGGCTCCCAAGCCCTGTCTGACCAGCTTTCCAGAGTTCGCCTTACCGGTAATAGGAAGTTGGCCGGGGTGGGGCATCAGGGGTGTCCTGCTCCAGCTCCCGATAAACTACCTCTGGCAGCTTGGGAGTGGTGCTTGCAGAAGCATTATGGTGGTGGTGATGGTTGGAGTCCTTGCGCTTCTCCTTGTTCTTATGCTTGCCTGACTTGGGAGTAGCAGCTGGTGTCTCAGTGTTTTCCTTGTTGCTGCCATTCTCAGGGGCCTCCTCTGGGGCTTCCTCATCCTCAGACACCACATCTAGGTTGTCAAAGATGCTAATGCGATGGACGCGGCCATGCAGGTCCACCTCCACCATACGCTGGGCCTGTGCATAGCTCATCACCTCACGGCCTGGTGACTGTGAGACCTCTGAGGGGCTGGGTGACTGCTTGTTGGCTGGGCGTGACTGACGCCCCTTCTTCTTGTGCTTGCGTAGTGGAGTCTGCTGCGGGGGCGGTGGGTTGTCGTGGTCATAGTGGTATAGGTGGTACTCAATACCACTGTAACTCTTATAGACCTTTCGGCAGGTCTCCACGGGGCACTCGTATGGTGGCTTAGTTGCCCGCAAGTTGTGGCAGAAAGTCTTCACGTCGAAGTCTACCCCCATGCTGTCACATCTAAAATATACAGATGAGTTAGAATGGGCCTAAGGAAGAGTTCCTGGCCACCTGCATCAGAGACCCCACTCTAGTCCTCCTTCTCCCTTGGGGTCACCAGCTCCTGACCAGCCTACCTCTACAGTGTCTCGGAATGCCATCTTCTCTACCATGGCCCTGATCTGGGTCCTATCACCTCTTGCCTGGTTATCCTGTCCTATGTCTCAACTCCTCTAGCCCAATCTCACATATGGCCAGAGTGATCTTTCTATCAAGTAGCAATGAGCATGCTACTCTCTTGATTAAAAGCCTCCTAATGATCCCCAGTTCCTTTAGAATAATATTCCAGATTCTCTATGATGACAGTCAAGGAACTTCTTTCACTGTCTAGCCCCAGTCCTTTCCAGACCTTTTTTTAAAACCGGTTACAGTTGTTCCTGTATACACAGAGCAACTTGCTGAATGTGATAATCTATCATTCCTACAAAATGTGTCTATTTGGAATGCCCTCCATGCTCTCTGATTGGTGGGCTACTACTCATTCTTCAAAACCCAGCTCAAACGTCATTTGTTAGGACTTCTTTGACTTTCCCATGGGGAACTGTTTCCACAGCATTCCGTTCTCACCTCCACTGTAGCTGCAATTCTTTGTGTTCTTTCACTAGACGGGGAACCGTGAAATACATACACCCAACCCTATCCAATCCATATATTCACAGTACCTAGCATGCACTGGACACTCAGTTTTCGGTGAATGAAAAATAACCTGAGGAACTAATAGCTCAATGAGGGGATCACCAGACTGTGAGGGGAAAGAGATGGGATGAAGGCTAGTTCTAGCCCATGTATCAGTCTGAATGGGTGGCCAATGAGTTAGTCTTGAACTCCAGCAGAAATAACTGAATTATACAGAGAATTAGTTACTTTTGAGGTCTTTTAGGGGAGCCTCGCCCTGGCCCTGGGATTGGGTAGGGAGATGCACTGTGGAGCTAAGTGAAAACTGAGGTCATTTAGTCAGTGACAGCAGCTTGTATTGCATTTGAGCTCTTCACTCACCCATTCATGCAACATCAACTGAGTGCCTACCAAGTGCCAGGCCCTAAGGGTACAAACAGAAACATGACAAACTAGGCACATTCAGCTCCCTGTGGTCATCCTCAGGGGCCCTCCCTTCCCCCATCTCAATATTCCTGGGTGAGTGGAGACAGCAGATGGCACCAGCCCTCAGGAAGCCCAACCTGGTCAGAGACTGCCCCAATTTCACTCGGCCTATTTGGGTTCAACAATTCGGCTAGAAACTTGGCACTGTTCCTGCTGGGCACAGCCACCTAAGCTCCCTGACAGTGACCCCTCTTGGCTTCTGTCTCTCTACCTGCAGTTTAACCAGGCAAGTGGGCTGCTCCAGTTCCTCTGTCAACAGACCTTGACTTTCACAACATGAAAGTTACGTGTTCAACTATAGCTCGCTTCTACTTCCTACCTGAGGGTGCATCTTTAAACACACACCAACCGGAGGCACAAACAAGCTCTCCTCTTTCCAAGCTGGGTCCCAGGTGAATAGTTCCCGAAGTAGCACGGTGCACCCGGCAGTGTCCCCCTTGGGACCCGGCGGCAGAAGCATAGGCGAGGGAAACGAGAACATACAGCAGAAAGCCAGCGGGGAGGGCCCAAGGGGTATGGCAGCTACAGATGCTCCTGGAGCTCAGGGGGCTGAAGGAAGTAGGAGGCGGGGGCCGGAGGGACAGGGCTGGGTCCCGGCAGTGCCCGCAGCCCTCTCTCCCGGATGCGGCGGCGTTTCCCCTTTGTCAAAGTGTAGCAAGTTAGGCAAAGCTCCCCTCCTGCCATTGGCCAGGCAGCCCCAAAGGATACACTGTTGCCCCGGGAGCTAATGCTCTGTCAGTTCTCCCAGCTGGAGTAGCCCGAGGGGCCTCCGGGCCAGGCAGCTCAGTGCGCGCCCCATGAGTAGCCTACTCCTTTCCCGCTGGTCACTCCCGCCCTGGTCCCAGGCCCGCACTCACCGGCCACCTCGGGTCCGGGCTCATCGCCGGGGGCGCCCGCCGGGGCTCCGACCCCACTAAGGGAGGCCGGCGGGGAAAGCTGGGCCAGAAAGGGGAAGCCCCAACTCCGGAGACCGTGGACCTCGCCACCCCGGCCCCCTGCTGCCCCACGCTCCGGCCCCGGCTCCCCGGGATTCCCGCGCTGACCCCTGCTGCTCCCGGTCCTGCCGGCGTCCCGGTGTCTCAACTCTGTCGACCGCCACCCGTTCCGCGAGCCCCTAGGTGGCTTGGACTTGGGACCGGGCGTAGCTGAGACAATGGAGGCTCCGGAGACAGCGCGGGGACCGCGGCGGCGAAGACCGTGGCGG